ATTAGACCATTAGTAGAGTAGCCAATCACAGCACAGTATGAGTGATAGACCATTAGTATGTTTATACTAATAGTTATTAGTAAATAATATATTAATCATTATTTACAAATTATCCAAGTTATTGACCTTATTTCCACTAATWAAATAATATTCATAATACAATTAATGTACATGTCCTTGAAAATGATATGATTTTTAAATAGGTGACATATTTTTTATAATTATTGTCAATTACATTGTTGTAATATTTTGGTTTGTTTTCTTAGGGTGATGGAGCAACACTAAATGTACACATCAATCTATTAGCATCTGCCAATGTAATCCTGCAATACACTTTATTATTTTTAATGATATGAGATGTGTACACTGATACCCTTCACGTTTGGTATAAAGTGATCATGTTTCAGTCACTTGACCAATTAATCAATAAAACAATCAATCAATCAATCAGTCTAATCAATCAATCAATCAATCAATCAATCAATCAATCAACCAATCAACCAATCAATCAGTCCAGTCAATCAATCAATCATTCATTCAAACAGTCAATCAATTAATCATTTAATCTATCCATCCATCAATGAATGAATTGATTAATCAATTATTTCAGAATCTCTTCATACAGTAAATTAGTCAATAGTAAGCTAAAAAAATGTAAACTTTGCTTTCACAGGCTGCCAATGATGCTGGAGTAAGAATAGCAAGAGCAAGACAATTCTTGAGAGCAGGAAGGGCTTCTTTAAATAGATCAGAGGTAAACACTAAAAAATAGTTGCTTTTTTATTTGGACAGAAAGAAAACATGAGGAAGTAAATTAATATGTTTATTTATTTCTTTATATATGTTATAAACGCTATGACTTTATGGGCTGTTTTCAGCAAAATACAACACGCCAACTACAAAACCAGTTTTTAAAACAATCTTATTATTGAAATACTCAGTTTTGTTTCTTCTGCATTAGTTTTAATTTTCTGAGCTTTCGGACAACTTGTCCATCATCAGGGCAAATTAAATTACAATGCGTACGTGAGGATACAAATGCAAACAAAACACTATGGTAACATAACTGTGTTATAAATGTGTTAAGAGTTCTTTATAAGATTCAAGCAGAGTTCGTCCACTATTTTTTTTAAAGGTAGTTATTGTTTCTTGAAATCTTTATAGCTTTAAGCCAGCGTCTTTGTACACATCTATGTTCTTGAGCGAGGATTGAATCCTACGTACGAAATATTTTAACAATCTTATTATTATGTGTTGCCAGGGTGATAACAGTGTGTTACCAGAATCTACTGTCACTATGGGAACAGGGCCTTCTACGACAGAATCCCAGTCAGGGAGCTCAAATACACAGCAGTCAAGCAATGACTCAAATACCAACCAAAAGTATGAATTATTCTTAGTGTAACCTGTACATGTATTCTGTATTNNNGATATCGAATGTGTATCAAATGGGTCGAATGGGTGTATTGAATTCACTTGTTATGTATTTCAAGTTAATCAAATGTGTATCAAATTGACTTGTTATTTATATATAGGGTGTGTTAAATGTCTATTGAGTTGATCAAATGTGTATCAAATTGACTTGTTATGTATATCAAGTGGATAAAATTGACTTTTTATGTGTATCAAATGATAATGTGTACAAATTAATCTATATGTGTTTTGTTCCAGTAATTCCCCTGATGTATTAGCTGATGTACTTGGTGAGCTGCTAGAGCTGAATTCTACTRTGCAACCATATTTACAGCGATATATCACCTTGCTAAACTCAAATACTGCTGAGGTAAACGTTTGTTCTTAAAAATCATCTTTGTACACTTCCTTATATTAAATCCATTACCTCTTGTTCAAGACAACACTTTATTTCATAACTGTTTTTAGATATATTCAAAATTTTTAAAAATGAACATTGTTTTGCTTATTTTTTTTTTAGAATTTGCTTCCATCAGATGACAGTCTTCCAGATCGTGTTGCTGAGGCTTTGCATAACCTAAGCCATGCCTACCATGCATTGTCAGACTTGACCTTTAACTTCAGATCACCAGAGCCACGGCGACTSAATGTACTTCCAYCTCTTTCCAACCATGTGGGTGCCACGCCTTTACTTTCTTCATTGTTTTCCAGCAATCAGCCAACTACAGCWCAGTCAGGGCAGCAGGTATCTGGTCAATGTTCTTTTTTGTTCAGTTTTTGTAGGATTTCTACATTAATTTAAAACATWACAAATTGTCATGTTTTTCCTTGAGTGCTCTTTTTTGAGACATTATTGAGTTTACTGTAATTATTTTAGTTTTTCTTTAAATCACATGTTTATATCAAATGTTATTTCAGACACCACAGGCCAACACTGAACCAAGGGTGCATGCTGTTCCTGGYACAGCTGCCATAGCATTTACYTCCATCATATCAGGGTCTCTTCCTCCRTCAGGTATCTACAACCAACAACCAAGCACAACAACRACTGGTGGAGCCAGTAGAGCAGGCTCAATGTTTAATTTCAGTTTTGGATCATCTGGTAGTCATGGTAATACCCAGCAAACAACAAGTAGTAGCTCAACTACTAGTTCTACTAGTACGTCAACACAAAACACACCCCAGGGAMCGGAGGGTAGAGATAACGTTAGGATAGTAATGGATGACTTTGTAGCATTATTTTCCAATTCACAACCAGTGACRTCRCACAGCGAGACATCAAGAACGTCTACTACTACACCATCACAACAGCATAGTCAAGGAGATACGGACACACAGACACAGAATTCAGGGACTACAGCATCATCAAGAGCTGTTCCACGAATCAATATTGGAGGTCTGCCATTGAATGGTAATCACCAAGACCCTCTGGTACCGTGTGAGTCATTTCACTTTGGACCCAGGTCCCGGCAACCACAGGGAAAYCAAACAGAGAGTGATAACTCTCAATCAAATCCAGCTAGTGGTCTTGCCCAGGCCTTCTCTGATGCTGTTGCATCAGCATTACAGGACACAGTATCTGGAAGGATGTCCAGTGGTGGTAGACAGTCAGAACAGGCAACTACAGGTCAACAATCAGGTAATAATCCCATTAACTACAATCTTAGACAAAATACATGGGACAATAAAGATCAGTAGCCTGATGATCGTACAAGTTAAGTGAAACTCGAGTGGTTTATAGTCCTTGTAAACATACATAATATATATTCCGCTCTACATAATGTATTGAGTACTCTTACTGACATGGGACAAACTTACTTTCATTCTACATGGGACAATATGYAAGTCTACTGAAACTTACAGACAATTCCCCCTGGGACCCCCCTTCTGGGACCCTCCCCCCATTGRCAATACGTAAACCATTTCCATGCATAAACATTGATGGCCTGGCCACAACATTGGCTGTTGAKTAATGGTAATATGAGAGAAAAATCAGCCTTATTGTTCGTATACTATCCAGGTAATGCCACAACTAACCGTACTACACCTGTTACAAGCTCAGCAACGAGCTCTGAGGCAGTCAATCCTCTTGTTCAAGTTTTATCTGCTCTGCATAATATTGAGAATGAAGGACCACGTCAACAGACTTCTACAAGGTCAAGTCAACCAACACCAAACCAGGTAACGTACCAGATAGTACTACCAGCAGAAATAGATACATTGTATACACCCTTTTAATAAGTCCYGAGGTATTGTGTTCTCCGCACTTGACATCAAATTTATTCTTTTGAATCCCTTTTGTATTGCAAAAATTTCAAATTTGACGTCAAGTGCGGAGAACACAATACCTCGGGACTTATTAAAAGGGTGTATACTAAAATACTTGGACGGTGTGTAGAATAAACGCACTTATTCATGATGTGATAGCACAAGATGTTACACTATGTTCCTTTATTTTCTATTTTTTAACCAACAATATTTAAATAGTACTATTATGTTATTTGTTTAGTTCCGTTTGTGTACTCTAAGATGACATTTATGCTTGATATCATATGAATGCTGAGTTATATTGTTTTTATAATGCTTGATATCATATGAATGCTGAGTTATATTGTTTTTATAATGCTTGATATCATATGAATGCTGAGTTATATTGTTTTTATATTTATTGTTTTTATATTTATCAGAGAGCCTCTGCACAGGCACGTGAAATTTCAATGTTACAAAATGTTATCATGAATACTATTGGTCAAGCAGTGCGCAGGGACGAGGGTGAGTTGTCATCATCATCATCATCATCATCATGTCAGTTATAATGATCAAATTTATTATGGTTGAACAAAAGCATTTATATGTAGTAAGGCAGTTATTAATGATTGGATGTTTTTCTTTTAAGACCCACAAACTATCAGCGACTTTCTGAATGAAGTGGACGAAGCTGTAGGTGGCACAGTTCATGAAATGCGACCACAAGGACGTAAGGACTCAATATAAATTCAATATTTTATAATCTTTATTCAAAGAATGTCTGTAGTTTTGAATTAAGCAAACCTTAATTAAAATGGTTTAAGGGCCTCAAGAAAAGATTAAGATATCATACATGTTACTTGTTGGTATTGACTCAGTGATTCAGAATTTTGTAGAAACAGAAAAKAGTATTATTTGTTTTGTTTTCACAGCATTCTTAAACCGGCTAATTGAACGCTTTCAAAGGACTATGACATTACAGGATATGGTCTTTATGTTGATGGGTAATATATTAAATATTGTCTAACTGTTTTTTTTCTTTTCATGAGTTTCAATATAATAGTAAAGTTTTGCGATCTCTTTTACGCTGTGTTAGCCTCAATTGTGTGCTAAAATATTTGTGAGATTTCAAACTATTTCCATTGTCTTCTATACTCACAGATCTCTTGCATTTGCACGGGCTGTTAGTGAATAAAAGAATTTATTACATGGTTTTGAGGCTAACACAGCGTAAAAGAGATTGCTAAAAGGGTTTATTGGATTCCCTGTGCTGACACAGGAATCCCATGATCCACTGTTGAGACACTAATGTCTGTTTTTTTATATAGGGCTTCCAGATCCATATGTGCGTTTACGTAATGTAGTGCGTCAGTATCCTCTAACTGATTTATTAGATGGAGCACCTGCTACAGATGCTAATATACAACATGTTTCATCAGAGATCACAGCAGAAATACTTGACATAGCTGGTGAATTACTGGTATGATTGATTTGCTTACTGTTTGGTTGTGTGACTGAATGATTAATTTAATGAATGAGTGGATGATTGACTGACAGAATGACTGATGGGCAGAATGGCTGATTGGCCGATTGACAGAATGACTGATTAAAAGAATGACTGATTGACAGAATAACTGATTGACAGGATGACGGATTGACAGAATGATTGATTGACAGAATGACTGATTGACAGGATGACTGATTGACAGAATGACTGATTGACAGAATGACTGATTGACAGGATGACTGATTGACAGAATGACTGATTAACAGGATGACTGATTGACAGGATGACTGATTAACAGGATGACTGATTGACAGGATGACAGATTGACAGGATGACTGATTGACAGGATGACGGATTGACAGGATGACAGAATGACTGATAGGCTGACTGAGTGTCTTTATGATTCATGAATGAAACAATAATGGGGTATATTGACTGATTGTTTGTGGATACTGAGAGTAAATAATTTTCTTTCTCAGTTACGTATTCCTAAAGCTGAAGGGATTGATGTAGTAGCATCAGTTGGTGCCTTGTTGGAGGATGCCTTTGAGACTACACTGAAAATGTCAAGAGACTTGGGTAAAATARCTAAATTATTACAGCAGAACATTAAAACCATGTAAAAGTAGATGCGTCAATGAAGGAATTYAGCTTAACATAAAGKTTTTCATGGTTTTAGTGTTTGTACTTTATAATGTAGCTATGTTAGCTGTGATAGTTTGAAAACTAACTGCAATAGACCATTTGCTTTATGACGTAACTTTACTACAACTACCAGAGAGCCTTGTGCATTTTCATTGTTATTCAGATTTTAAATCCCCTTGTAGATTAATAAAACAATTGGCACTAATTGCATTACAAAAGAAAGTTGGCAAAGCATTCTGGTAGTTGTAGTAAATGACRCCATARTGCAAATCGGCTATTATCAACATTGACATTGACTWWTAGATTTGAYAATCTATCAAAGACTTTTTAATCTTATGTCACTTCTTGTTCACTTCATAGAGTAGTGTTACAAAATAGCTGAAATCCTCGAACTGATAGAGTGTTATAAGTGGTTAATCTTGTGTGTTTTTCTGTAGATAATGCCTCGTTTGCTGAGCGGTTCCCAGACCATGTCAGACAAGCAAGTACTGACTTGTGTATTCTCTTCACCATGTGTTTTCGCGATGGCCTGACTGGTGCTTCGCACTTTGTAGGAATGAGACTGGTTAGTGGATTAATCATTGGAAGTTTTAAAAGTTTTCTTTTTTTCTTTATGTGAATTCAGTGATGCCATGATGATTTATGTCATGATGAAGATAGTCACGGTGATTTGTGTCACGATGATTTGTGTCACAATGAATCGTGTCACGTTCATTTATGTCACGTTCATTTATGTCACGGTGATTTGTGTCACAATTGATTGACACGTTCATTTGTGTCATGATGATTTTTGTCACGATTAATGTTGTCACGGTAATGTGCGTCACGGTGATTTGTGTCATAGAGCGGATTTCGTATGAGTGGGACACCGTTACCGCACGGTTACCGCGCAGTTACCTGACCTGGCCTGCACAATTTTGGTGAATCAATGGGGCACTAGAATTTTGGTTACAGTACGATTACGGTCACAGTACAGTACCGTCCGTTTCCCACTCATACGAAATCCACTCTATTCAATTGTGTCACGGTAACTATTGTCACGGTGATTTGTGTAACAATTGATTGTGTCACTTCCAATTGTGTCACACTGATTTTTGTCACGCGAATTTGTGTCACGTTGGTGATAATAAGTTAGGTCACGCACTCCCTTTTATAACAACTGTATTATTAATACAGATGTTGTGTTTTCAGCCTGAAGAAATGACAAGAGATCTCAATGARCACATGTTACAAACGTTCCAGGCGACATCTATTCGTTATGTCGAGACAGCTTATCGCTTTCGACATCAGCGAGAGGAAATATTGAAACGATTTGTAAAAAAAGAGAAACCTAAAGAAGAAGCAGCCTCTGAGGATTCTCAAAAAGACGCGGTAAGACCCTTAAGAGSGACTAGGAGAAAAAAAGGGTTCAWGAACAGAATAAGATGAGCGACCGAAGAAGACTGCTGTAATTGTTTGTTTTTCTTAGTAAGCCAAGAACATCCCACATAGAAGTTATTAGATGATCGTCTTCTTGAGATGTTCTTMATTTGCTTATTACGCATGCTCTKTCATTAACCTATCCCACATGGCCCAGGGCTTCTTTCTCATTTATCATGATAAGGTGTATTTTGTTTTTACTTTAGGCCGAGGCTTGTGAGGCTAGTAGTCAAAAGTCTGATGACTCAGATTCATTTGCAACACCACCGTTATCGATGTCTYTGAACGATGTCGAAGAGTATGYACCATTAGAGGATCAAGAAGAYATTGAAATGGAGGAAGATGACGARGAAGACTGGAAGACAGTTGTACCCGAGGTATTTAACTTTTTTTGTACCTAGRCTCGGCTAATCTGATAGTTCGTTGCCTTAAAAAACCCTCTAACGATGATCAAATCAGATTTTGATGACAATGATKACAGTACATCAAGAATAATTACTAACTTATATTTTTGTCCAAGGACTGGGTACCAATTATTGCTCGTGACGTCATGCGACAAAGAAGACTTCCGCAGCAAGCGCCATTTAGTGATGGTTATCTCAGCGGTCTTCCGCCTAAAAGGCGAAAGGTACAYTGTAAATCAACAAAATCCAAGAAATRTTTTAAGAAATTTACTTGATATTCAATTTCCTTGYTTTAAGARGATTTTCCTCTTGCATGACATCTTATTGCGCATGCTSTATTTGTTAGTGATGTTGATATTGTTGYTGTCGTGGCTGTTGCTATTGATGTTGTTGTTATGRWTATTTCTATTGGTGTTGTTAATGTTATCCATTGTTTTTGGTTATTGATGGAGTTATACCGACTAAAATCAAACGTTGGATAATTATCCAAATGCAATACGAAYTTAAAGGTTTTTCTTTTCGTCAAATGGCGTGAATTTAAGTCATAAAGCTTCTTACGTGTTGCTTTCAGTGAATAAATACCTTAAAGTACTTACACTATATRTATTTTGTTATTYATTAGGCCTGTTTTTATAGCTCTTTCGGCACAATCTGTTTAAGCCATTTATGGCGTGCTGTTAGTGTCAAAACAAATATGTTGTCAATATCAATTAAATTGTTTACAAYCGGGAAAACTGTTTTCAACCGGGAAAACTGTTTTCRACGTATTTGACTGTCGAATATGATTGAWTACTCTCAAGAAATGCTCTCCTACTTGGTTAAAAAGTGTAGCACAAGTATGTTTTGAAAAACATGGGTTTGGTTGATATTGTATGAAGTTATTTTGACGGCTGGCGAGGTGAACAAGATGTTTTTGAAAAGCTTGTTTAAACTGAGAATTATATATTGTTTTTCTGTTTGTTTACGTGGACATGAAGTACACCGTTCAACAATGAAACTATCTATTGTATGGTAGTTTTAGACTGCTCTAGTGTTTTCTCAGTTTTTAATCAGCTCAATGCTTGTTCTYCTTTAAGTCAATTCAAGCACTACTGCTTTATATGGTACATAGATTGATTGATTTTAGAGTGTTTTAATGCTTCCTGCAAGTTAAAAGGTTATAATAGTATTGACCATTTTCTGAACAGAAAAAAAATAGCAAATCTCGTGTTAACAAACACGGAAATTGTCATACAACCTAGTGATGGATATAGTCAGTAAACAGTGTTTTAAGGGATTATCTATTGATTGAAAGAATAAATTAACCATCAAAGCAGATGTAAACGTTGGACTAAATGGACTTCAGCACCTGCASTTTKGGGTGTCTTTTTAATATTTGTTCTGTGTTGAAAATTCATTTGTCTGAGTTCAGTTATTATTTGTCTATTTTTTAGGTTTCAAATTTCTTCAATTTCTTCTATAGAATTTGTATTTATTGTATTTTATTCGATTGTATGAATTTATTTTTATGTTGTTTTTTTTTGTATTAATTTTGTTCATCAGTATTCCGTTTGTTTCGCGTTGTTTTGTCTGGTTCTGTTTGTTTGWTTTCTTTTTTATGGCGTTGTTTTCTGTTTATATACTTCTCATGTTATATTGTTTGGTTACATCTATTTTTTCTTGAGTTTTTTTTGGTCGTGTTTTTGTCAGTCTTTGAGTCTTCCCCAAGCAGACAGACAGACGGGAAATCAACAGATGAAAGAGATAATTTTATCGTTTGAATAAAAAAAWTTAGAAAAATGAGATAAAGGAAATAATTTAGTTAAGAGCCTGGTCAAGAGGCTTTAAGTATAATGCAGGCATTAATAATAATACATCACGCACTTGGCTTATTTTGTAAAAATACAGTAGATCGCAAACAATCGAGTCATATTAGTAAAACCTTGTTTAGTTTAGTAACAAGCACAGCAACAGCAACTACAACAACAAGATTGACAACAGCAACAACAGCAAGAACAGTAACAACAGCAGTAACAACAACAACTGCAACACTATCACCACCACCACCACCACCAACAACAACAGCAACAACAACAACAACAACAACTGCAACACCATCACCACCACCACCAACAACAAGACTAACAACAACAACAACAGCAACAAGATTAACAAAACTGACAACAACAACAACAGTAACAACAAGTACAACACAATCAACAACAACAAAGACGAGACTAACAACAGCAACATTAACTACAACTACAACACCACCATCACCACCAACAACAGCAACAAGACTAACAACAACAACATTARTAACAACAGCAGCAACAACATCACTTACAACGCAGAAACGCAACAGCTACAATGCAACAACAATAGCAGCAACACCTACAACAGCAACAGAACAACAACAGCATCAGCAACAACACAGCAACAATAACAACAACAGTTACAGCAGCAGTAACAACAACAGCTACAACGACTACTGCAATAGCAAAGTTGAGACTGAAAAGTCTTATTGTTGTTTAACTATATTTTTCAACTGGTCAGTGTTTTTCGGTATACGGACGTTGTCATTATTGTATCACTAACGCTAGCTTTTCTACAGACAACCGATCAAAGGGCCGTGTCTTCAACAAGCGAGAATATGTCGTCAATACTCCGTCAAGCAGTGTTAGCGGCAGGAGTGACGCCTAAGACAAGCATGGAAGGTAGGCTCCATCCTACATGGTTCCGCGATTGATTAACAAAATGACCCTAAAACACTTACTGCGCATGGTCAATTTAACAAGTAATATAGCTTGCGTTAAGCTTCCGCGCGGTGAGATAAATTGCCTCTTAAAAACGCAAACACCGTGAATCCTTACGAGTTACTCCCTTCCGTTACTTACTCACTAAATAGATGTCATTGCGCATGCTCCGTGCAACGCCACGAATCATCCCACATTGTCTTGAGTTAACACAAAGTGATAATTTTATAAGTAGATCGATATTTTTGAGGCTGAATTGTTTTATTTCATAATGTATGATTAGCCTCCTTGATGATCCATCCGAAGACTTTTTTACTGATTATTATTATAGCTCTGGCAACGGATGCACAACAGAGCGACGACTTACACGAAGCTTATCGCGGGGAAGTAAAAAAAGCCGTTAAAAGACGTACCAGTAAAGACGCCGACTACAATCCAGACACGTTCCCCTCTACTAAAGATTACCTAGAGAGCTCATAGCGTTAAAAATATGATCTGCANAAATAGCCCCATTGCACATTTTGGCTACTCATAAGGCCAAAAAGGCACTATCTGATGTTTTACCAAAATGGCTCTCGATTATCGAAATAGCCCCATTGCACATTTTGGCTACTCATAAGGCCAAATTGGCACTATCTTATGTGTTACCAAAATGGCTCTAGCTTGCCAAAATAGCCCCATTGCACATTTTGGCTACTCATAAGGCCAAAAAGGCACTATCTGATGTGTTACCAAAATGGCTCTAGTTTGCCAAAATAGTCCCATGGCATATCTTGGCTCCAATTTATATGTACCAAAACAGCATTTTAGGGGGCCAAAATAGCATTTTTTTGCTATTTTAGCCAACCGCTAGGCCAAAACAGCACTACTTTAAAAAAGCCAAAATGGCTCCATGGAGCTGTAAAGGCCCCTTCACATTTACTGTGTACAGCAGCAGTGATAACAACAGCTACAACGACTACTGCAATAGCAAAGCTGAGACTGGAAAGTCTTATCGCTGTTTAACTATATTTTTCAACTGGTCAGTGTTTTTTCGGCATACGGACGTTGTCATTATTGTATCACTAACGCTAGCTTTTCTACAGACAACCGATCAAAGGGCCGTGTCTTCAACAAGCGAGAATATGTCGTCAATACTCCGTCAAGCAGTGTTAGCGGCAGGAGTGACGCCTAAGACAAGCATGGAAGGTAGGCTCCATCCTACATGGTTCCGCGATTGATTAACAAAATGACCCTAAAACACTTACTGCGCATGGTCAATTTAACAAGTAATATAGCTTGCGTTAAGCTTCCGCGCGGTGAGATAAATTGCCTCTTAAAAACGCAAACACCGTGAATCCTTACGAGTTACTCCCTTCCGTTACTTACTCACTAAATAGATGTCATTGCGCATGCTCCGTGCAACGCCACGAATCATCCCACATTGTCTTGAGTTAACACAAAGTGATAATTTTATAAGTAGATCGATATTTTTGAGGCTGAATTGTTTTATTTCATAATGTATGATTAGCCTCCTTGATGATCCATCCGAAGACTTTTTTACTGATTATTATTATAGCTCTGGCAACGGATGCACAACAGAGCGACGACTTACACGAAGCTTATCGCGGGGAAGTAAAAAAAGCCGTTAAAAGACGTACCAGTAAAGACGCCGACTACAATCCAGACACGTTCCCCTCTACTAAAGATTACCTAGAGAGCTCATAGCGTTAAAAATATGATCTGCAATGCATGTCGCTTCCCATCTGCCAAAGATTTTTCACTCAGAAAAATCTGATTGAAAACAAGAAGTTGACATGAAATCTAAGCGGCGATAACGCGCAAGGAATACTTCAAAGAAAGCTCATATTCTAGAAATCAATACGTTGAGTTCCTGTATTATTATTTCGCGTTTTAATTATAAATGTTGTAGATGAAGAGAATTAGACAATGAATAAACTAGGGAGCGTCTAGTTGTCCACTACTTTTAAGATTGATTTTTTTTACCACATCGCGGGAAAACAATTACTTTGAAGTGTCACTTCTTCCTACACGTTTCGCCCATTTCATTAAAATGTCAGTAAAATCTTTCTAGAATTATTGTATTGGTTTAGTAACYTGGTTAWTTTATTTATTCATGGTACAYTTTTAACCAGTTGAGCTAAAAATGTCGGGAAAATGGTGGATTTCGGCTCGTTTAGGACGACAAGAACATRAACAAATGAAAAATAAAATGTGCAAACTCTTTAGAAAGATAATTGATTCTTGTTGTCACTTCGGAACTTCATGATTCTACTTTTTACATCCGAGTAAAAATTAATGTTTTCAAAACTCCATATGTCATCTTTCTTGSTACGTTTTCCTCTAGTGGAAACACCGACAGTGGAACCGCTGTTCATAGTTCCTGTTCGTCGTATCATTTCATTCTTTCCTGCCGAAATATTGTCTTAGTTATATCCTCATTCACAATGCCCTCTAAGTTTTATCTCTTTTTAGTGTATTAATGGAACCGTTTGCTTACATGGCCGCCATCTTTTAGGATATTAAAGGCTTAATTAACCACTACTGTTCTTTGCGCATTTCAGATGAAAAGTAATTGACAATCGGGAACTTTCTTTCGGACCGTAGTTGGTACAGTCTTACTTATAAAATTAGTGTTTGATTTAAAATTTAGATACAACTTTGTGGCATATGGTCGCTCTGCTTTGATCTACTTATGTCCATAAAACCGTTTAATTTTTGATGAACTCTGGAGTTGTTTTTTTTATTGTCGTTTTTCTAGGTCCATTACTTTACGATATTAGACTGAAACAGATGTTACAACTCACGAAGCGATGCTAAAAATCAAGCATATTGTCTACTCAAGGTGTCCGATCATTTCATTAAGTTTGCGATTTTTCTAACGTTTCATAATGACATTTTTACGACACTTTCTATATTATGTGTAAGAGATAATCAAGGCTTCATTGAAGTRAGGGTTTTATTTGGATATGCACAGTCTGGCTGGTCAACAAATTTAATGTAAAATTCTTGCGGTTTTTAAAAATTAAATAGGATAAAACTTTAAGAAATCGTCAAATGGTTCTTAGATGTTACAGATTGCTATTTACAGCGGTTAGAATATGATTATCCATTCGATTCATGTGTTTTCTTTGATTCGATTATTCGTTCGTTTCGATTACTCGTTCGATTTCACCAGATTTGTTATATTATTTCTGTTGAGGCCGTTTTCTATCTAATCGTTTCTCTCTGTTGTCATTCATTTTTTATTGACTTGTTTTCTGATTTCTGCGATGCACTTTTCATGGTCACTTCTTGTTTTGTCTCTTTGATCAATCGTTCCATTGTGAATTCATTGATCGCTTCCTAAGGTCTAATGGTACAATTTTAGATCGTGTTATTAGATAGCATTCGATTCAGTTGATGAGGTGTTCTCTTCTTCCCCTATTTTAAGAGGGATTTTTATCTTGATCATGAAAGTGAGAGCACATTATTCWCTGTTCTGACACCWGTTCGAAGTGTTTATTTTTCTCCATGTAGTGCACGTACACGTTTATCGATGTTTGAGTGTTTTTCCACATCTATACTTATGTTAGTAATAGGAAAGATTCCATCTTTTTCATTTTGTGCAACGTTGTTTGCTCATCTGTCATTTTTGAGTCACCTTATGATTACTAGCATGTGGCTTTGTCGCTTTCTGCTATTAATCGCAAGGGTTGATGTTTGATCAACTGTTCTCGAAGCTTTCCAACTAGTCCCTCTGATTTGATTTTTTTCTTATCTTGTGCTTGCTCAGCATTTTGATTGCACAACTGAGTTCATAGTGTTACTAGCCATGCTATCGGCTTGTGAAGCTACTTGGGTGCTCTCTCTGCTGGAGCCACCACTTTGACACATATAACCTACAACTACTTTACGGAATTCTTTGCTTGAAATGTAGTAAACAACTGGGTCTGCGGCGGAGTTAAGTACCACGAAAAACGCACAGACACTAAACAACAGATAGTAGAACTTGTACAACAAAAACGGGGGGTACAGAGCGAAGGTGAGGCGGAAGGCTGTTAAGGGAAGCATGGACAATGCAAATACTACAACAAGTGGTGTTAGAATGCGCTGTGCTTTCTTGTTCTGCTTCAGACGTTGTTTCTCTTCTTGTCGGATTAACTTACTCTTTGTAAAGTCATCTCCGTGCATACCCTTATGGAACTGGTTGCTCTGCACGAGTCGTCTTGAGATCTTTACGTATGTGAATGTTATGATTCCGAGTGGTAGTAGGTACCAGAATATCGCCAGACCAACTGTGTATGGTAATATCATGGACTTTGGCCAGTCCGGGTAACACATGATGCCTTGGCGGTCTTCTTTGTAGAACATGATAGGGTACATTGGTACAGCTACAACAAGGAAGGACACGAACCAAATGACAAGAATCTTCAWTGTTATTTTCCTGGACGACTCTGCGCGTCTACCAAACGATCGACGACTGATGATGTTCCTGTATCTTTCTATGGCAATGATAGTGATGGACCAGATCGATGCACCGTAAAAGATCTCMGTAGCAGGCGCAATGAACAGACAAAAAAACTTTCCAAATGGATACCTTGTGGTGCTCTCAGCAACTGTTGTTAGTGGGAAGTTTATCAAAAGTACACCTAAATCAGCAATGGCGAGATTGCGCARGTAGAGGTTCATAGTCGTTTTCATGTTTGCTCGTTTAGTGATCACGATGAYGACYAACAARTTGCCCAAAACACCGAGCAACGCTAGAGTTATGAGTAATACCTGTCTGGAGACCTTCAGAGCTACTGGTTCCTTGTAGTAAAACCAAGGGTTTTCCGTACCATTCACAGTGGAATTCATCTTCAGAACACTAAGACCATTTGATGCGTCACTGGTCCAAATGCATTTGCCTTGCTAAACTGTGTGCGATCAAAGTAGTGGTCGAGTGAAAACGTCGGCTGACAGCTCGCTCTCTAAACAAACTCCCAACGATTGCCAGCCTTTGATTAGTTCATAAGTAATTTATATGCAAACCTATTAACATAAAGCACATACTTCATGTTAAGTGCCACAAAATGAGTAGGCTAAATTTGGCATATGCTAGTGACGTTACCGGCAGTTATTGCCAAGCATTGAATATTCTCACCTTCATCATCAAGCCAYTCTTCTTTGCACGTAAACAAAAAAATTTCCCCCAGATCATCGAGGGCTACACAAAGCTAAATGTCTTGCGTTCAGGCGCAGTTGATAATGAGTTCTTGCAGCGGTCGAGCCGCAGTGTTGTCTATATCGCACTGTGTTCAATCATGGATTTCGATATAATTTTGAATAGTAAATCCACGACACTCAATTAATCTCAACTCGGCTGCTGCAGCTGCCCTTTGCAGTAAAATCAAATTATACTTGAAAGAATCAAATTTAGAATGAGACAATATGAGGTGTGCATGTAATTAAGTTTTGAAAAGGGCTTTTACACTGACAAGACCTGCTTGCACGAATGGTAAGAATCGAGTCTCTAGTCCTAATGGACTTTAGTTGGACATCGTAGAGTGCGTATTTTTTATTTTATCAATGTTTTTTTTATTATTCTCTAAATGGAAATCTAATGATAAGCAGTCATTTGATGCGAGGTAATTGTTTGGTTATTGTATATCTTTATTAACACTAACTCAGTCTATTTCAACTACAATCTGCAATAAATTGCTACCACGATACTTTTATCCATTCTTTTTTTTTCTATTATTTTTTATTTGTTTTGTTTAATAAGTCATTTTGATTTTTTAAGTCAGTTTATTTTGTTACATCGTTAGTTTCCACTTTCCCATTTCATCCCATTTCATCCCTTTCAGTCGTGCTTTTAATAAACTTTTAATATTGAGTGCACAACCGTCTTGCAACTCAGCTCCTTGTCCTTCAATGACCTTCGATCCACATGCCAAATCTGAAATAATACCCATCACTTAAATGAGAAAAAAATATTCAACACTCGACGATTATCTTTCTTCCTGTTTTCTCCTCGCTAAATCGACTTGCCATTTCCATTTTGAAAACAGAGCTTTAATGAGATCGACTTGTAAGTACACAAGTATTACAACTTTTAAAATAACTTCCAATAGAAAATCTTACTATCTAAATATAGCTCTAAGTTTCATGGTTTTTCTAATGTTTTATCAATTCATTAAAACCCTTATCTCATACGTGAAAAAAGTGAATTTAAATACAAAACACCTTTAGAACATAAAYGAGCAATTTTCCTGGTGATTTTGTGGGRAAAAAAACAAAACGCCCCTAGCTGTATAGTTTTCTCTAATTCATCCACAAATTGAATTCGGTTTTTTTGATGAAGCGAATTTCAAAGTGCACCCAATGTAAAGTGTCTTAAATATAAAACCGCTAGGACGCCATGCACCATGTTGAGTGTAACACTTTAGTTATAATGGTGGGTAGGTTGTCTTGGCGGTAATAACACGATAGACGTGAGTCCAATGATAAGTCATCACAACATAGAACGAAACTGCTGCTGATTTTTAACTAGGAATTAAGTCGTTTTTGACACATCATGTCAGGGTAGATCCTGTCTTTCATGTCGGAAAATGAACATTTTTGTATTCATGTATTCATGATTTGTTCCAAGAAGCTTTTAGTATGTGAGGTCGTTGTAATTACGACTAGCAATTCAACAACTCTGTTCCTTATTTCCTAATTATGTTGCACGTCATTAGAAACAGCCAAAAAGATTGAATTAAGTTATGTCAGATGGATTGCTGACACTCGATATTACTATTACCAACAGAGGAAAATGTTATTAAAAATCTCTCTTAATTGTATATGTTTTGCTAGATAACAGACTCAATGATATCAAACTGGCTGAGGATTAAAATGGATTTCAGCCTACGCCTTTTTGTACGGTTACGGCCTCTTCTACCCTGATGCGTTTTAATACCATTTCATTTATTCTTGGGGATGAACGAACCATAACGTTACGATAACGCATCGATGTGGACAAGGCCTGTGCCGTGAGTCTGGAAGTCATTATACGTTACGAAAACGCATCAGTGTGGACAAGGCTTGAACTGTGCCATGACTCACTGTGAGTCTGGCAGTCATTATAGTGACGCACGACCAGTWKCGCCAACCAGGTCCTTACGCTTTCTTGGGTTACGCAAATTGCCTTAAAAATCACACTTGACTGTTGCGTTTTCCAGCTTTTTGGAATAATTGATATAGCTGTCTTTATTCAAGACTCTTCCTTTATTTCTGGATGATTTTCACCAACGCAACGCCGGAACATACAAAGAAATTCATTTCTGTCCATCACTGGTATTTTGCTACTTTAAAACGGTTCGTTTTCTACGTTTTGGACAAATTGGCTTTAACTTTGCACATCTTCCTTCTACAATTGCTATTTATTTTCACTATGCCCTCATTGATTATTCTTTTTGAGAAGAACAAGGTACTCTGAGAACCTAGTATTACAGTAGTATGTGTCGATAATATAGAATCTAGAGCTAGCAATTCTCCATAGTAATGGTGTTCACGGTGGTCTAATCTATTTAACTGTGAATTAATGTTTGCTCTCTTAAGTAAGGAATATCAACACATCTTTCAAATTGACAAAGTTAGATAAATATACTGACACACAGAATAATGAGAAACCTTTTGTGTAGATTTGGTGTTAACTACCTCAGGCTCATTAAAGATTTATAATTTTATCGAAAAAAACCGCATTATAAGTGAGGATTTTAAAATGACAAACACTATATTTAATTTAAAGAGCTTTGAGTTTGATATATTTTAGTTTAAACTACTTTAAATTTATTTGTTGTTTTTGTGGTAAAGCTCATCAATAACTTCAGTATTAATCAGTTTATAATCGTATTCGTGCAAGATATTAAGGTTTTTCTTTCATAGACAATTTTCGTCCAATTTGTACTCACGAATAAAATATAATTTTATTAAATGCTTTAAACGTGATATAAAATCATTTAAATTCAAATGTAGAAAGTTCAATTTGTCAGTTTATCCACTCCTTTATTTRCGTGTTTGGTTTGAGTATTTGAAGTTCTTTGAAAATCAAATGTTTTATGTAAGCAACAGCAAAGAATGAGAATTAAAATCTCCCAGTTAAATGTCACTCACCTAAATATGTCTCATAATCGAAGCATTAATATTTTCTGTTGTCTTTCAGTACGGCATCGACCTGACAGATATATMTATCGCCTAGTGACAAAACTGCATATTTTGGAAATTTCGACATTTTTGACTTTCGACATTTTGACTTTCGATACTTTTGACTTTCGACAATTTTTAGTGACTTTCGGCATTTTATCTTTCGATTTATGCGAACTTTCGACTTTTTTGAACATTAAACTACATTTGTGAGCTTTCGACACTAGAGATCGTTTATATAAGAACACTTGTCTGTTGTCTTAACTACACATTATTCTATATCCCATGGGCTACGACAGCCGCAGGGGATCGGTTTTTTGAATTGCGTGTCGTCAAAGGACGCACAAATCAAGTATATAATGAGCCAAGAAAGGCCGATACAGCGATACCTATGATATGGTGTTGTCCGTAATGTAGATCTGTCTACGACCAGGTGTCCGTTATAAAGAGGTATATCTTAATTGTGAAGAGACTGACCGAGTTCGTAATAGAGAGGGTGTCCGTAATATAGAGGTGTCCTTGATGTGTCCGTAATATAGAGGTGTCCTTGATGTGTCCGTAATATAGGTGTCGTTATCGTTTTTATTTTGAAGTTTTCCTACTAGACCGTCCGTGAAACGGCGTACCACGCCTTATTTTTCATTCAGTAAAAATGGCGGCTTCCTTAYTCACGYAAAATAATTTGCCAACCGCASTTACTTTATATTATCCCTTTAACGTTTACTCGAGATTTTCAAKCGGATTTTTGTCAGYGATTTTGACGAAAGTACTCGTATATGCCGCGGATTTAAGTACTAGAGATCAAAGTAATCCCTTAATGTTGTTTCATAATGACAGATTTGCTCACTTACGACAGATATTTCCGTATTTGCAGCACTGTATAAAGTAATGAAGAGGTTCATAACACGACTATTTAAGGAACGATCTCCTCTAAAAAGGGTCAAAAGGAAAAAAAACCGTCGATAAAAGATTCCTACTTGGTGTATATATTGACTGGGTTATCGTCTAAAGGCACTCAATCCAAGATTAAACTATTATCAACTACTTTTGTTTTCTTAAATTGCCAAAGSTGCTTAAGTTGTTCCATATGATGATCTAAAACTCATTTTGAAACTTCCACCATCATTTATCTAATCACCTCTAAGTCCTCTTAAATTGCTTTAAAATCTGAAAAATACGACATGTTAGGAAGTCGTTGGTCCTCTAAGATAAATCAATGATGAGATAAGCCTAAGACTACGCCCACTAAATCAGCTCTGATGCTCCCAAATCCACTGAAWAAGACMCATAAACTGAAACTAAAAATATACTTRCGCACTAAAAGATTTATGTTGTCCTTTCATTATCATTAATTTTCAAAATTCATAACACTTTCTAAGTGTATTTTTTAATAAACTCTTTATGAATTTACATCTTGAAAGATACTTCATTTTGTACAATGATTATTTTCTGTCCCTTTATTATCTGTGTTGCATGAGTTTCTCTATATCGTCAGGTTCTTTAGGGCAGCCCTGACTTAGGATTTCGTTCCCAGTTTCAGTGATTAATACATCGTCTTCAATTCTAATTCCAATTCCACGAAACCTACAAAATGACATTTCAATAGTTATTTATAAACAAATTATTCAACCAAACAACAAAATAAGATAATACTAAACTAGCTGACACCATGCGCAATAAGCAGAGAGCATTAAGCAATACTTGCTCTAGTTCTGGGGGAAGGGGGGAACGATAATGAATATTTACTCAAGCGATTATATACAACACACATGTACCTTTCTGGTACGTTCTTGGCATTGTTAGGGATATACAGGCCCGGTTCGACAGTCACAATCATTCCAGGTTGTAGGTTCAGTCCTCTACTGACGAGATGTGTGTCATGTGTGTCCATACCCAGATAATGACTGACATGATGTGGGCAAAATTCACTGGCTGCCTGCAGAAAGAAAAAACTGCTTCATGGAAGAGGTCACACGAGGAGATATTGAACCCCACAAAAATGGTCGCAGAAAGAAGTATCAAATTATGGAAGAAGTAGTATTGGGAACCAGGGGCGTATCTATGGGGGGGGCAAGGTATGGGAAGGGAGAGGAATCATGCTTGTACAATAACGATGCCTTAAAATGTCGCTTATAAAGGGCCTGGGAACGAGATTGAAAATGTCTATAAAAGCTATGGSAAAAGGCAAGGAATTACACAATGAGAAGTATAAAAAAGAATAAAATTAATAAAAACTAACGAAGTAAGTAAAACTTTGAATGTCTGTAAATAWAATCATCTGAATTAATGTCAATCACTTTTTCCTGAGTTCTTGGGTTTCCTSTGTTATTAAACAGGAAGCCCAAGGGGTTAAAAAGACTAGTCTCAACCTTACCTTCTTTCTTTCTGTATCARTTGATTTCTTTGATAAAATTCCAATTTCTAGAATGAAGCACATGGCAAATTGGCATGTTTCTGGGTTTTGTTCTTCAAAAGGCTGGAAATAGTACTGAAACTTGCTATGAAATGTACTTACTGACTAGCTCTTCTCCTAGCAGTGATAACATTGCATGATGAATGACATCCAATTTGGCATTTTTACGACAAAGCTGTAAAACACAAGAGTTWAMTAAGTGTTAAGGTTGATTCAATCATTAACCCTTCAAAGCAATTGCACGCCAAGTGAGCTGTYATTTGTTGTATTGAAATTTACCCTCGGAAATATCAGAGAGATATGTTATGTAGCATTAGAATGGTGTGTCCTCTGTGTTTCTAAGAGTCCATCCAGGATAAGTAATTAGTGTGCCTAAGAAGTGTCTGTCTTCTTATACTTACAGAGATACAYTTTTTCTGTATTGTCAGCACTATTTCATAAAGTTGCCGTTGGGCCGTACTAAACRTCCCATTAACAGGCCATGTTCTGGTAATATCGCTAGCGTAACCATGGTACTCGCAYCCTGCRTCCATTAGCACTAGATCACCATCTCTAAACAACAATTAATACTGTTAACTCTACCCTTGCGGACACCTTTATTGCGACATGTCAATCACCTCAATAGCTGTGTATTGTTGATGTAATGAAGTGTGTTRGCCAATGAACCTCCAGCAACGACTGGTGGATACGACAGCCTCTCGGCACCTCTYATTCTACATTCATATTCCATGGCAATGTGAAGATGTGATTCTTCTAGACCAGGGCGTGTCATATTCATAATCTATGTCATAGTTGTTAATTAAACTCACATTAGTACATATTGGTCAGATACTGGTCACAAGCTGTAGTGTTGTATGATAGCCAGAGAGAAGTCCGAGAAAGAGTTGTCATTATTGATTTAACATAATAAAACACTTTACTCAATATCTATGTCAGCATGAAATCACAGCATCAGTGCTTTTAGCATAAATTATAATCTAACCACTTGAGCGCYATTTGACAAAGTATTAAATGGCAYAAGTACATGCTCTTGATGTACCTCAGTCTATTTCTAATGTTGTGTTTACCTTTTTGATTGCATCAGAAGCAATAGAGGCTGACGATCTCATCAGGTTGATTTCAGATTGTGACTTGATAAGTCTCAGCATRTGAAGATTATGGCCAAGTACAAGTAAATCTTTGAAAAGATACATACAGAACAGGCTTTTAAGCCTAAAAGTCCCAAAAACAATGTCAAAARWCTTGACAATATAAAGCATKAACTTACTTTTGAATTTAAACTTTGGATTTGCAAASAGTAYTTGTTTAAGTTCTGAATGAAGCAAAGGATGCGAGGGGTRTAGATGGTCATACCAAATACAATAATCTTTGTTAGAATATCTGAATACAATAATATAAACAATATTTTATTATTTTGCTAAATGAARGACATTTTTGATTAGAAATCAAAGGCAACTAAAGAATGCTACTTACCTTTCCATGATTTTTGATGATAAATCTTTTATTGGATAAGCCTAAATAGACACACACACAAAAAAAACAAAAAACTAAAAAAACAATAATTTCTAGCAATGTAGAATATTGAAAGATCATTTATAAGTCAACTAATTATGCTAAAAGAATTCTTACTTCATCCATGCCAAAAACATTAATAGCACCTTGAACACCAGCACGGCTACCTTCCCATAATTCCCTAGTGTAAATCAGATATTATATTAAGTTGATTATTTGATTATTTTAGTTTTTCAGTAAAAGACTACACATCTATACTGTACTTCACCTTCTAGGRTCTCTTGGTCTTACAAATAGTAAACTCTTGTGATAAGGTAAACCATGTCCCTCTTGTGTTTCTACAAGAGAAGTTCAATATAAATCAYRACTGCCTTCATTTTGACATGGGGATCCCTGTGGTATCTCATAAACAGGAAGCCCAAASACATAAAAGSCAAAATGACGGATATCTCTTTTATTACCAAGTAATAAAACTGAATCAGGTTCTTGAAAACCAGTCAGGTAAAGAAAGTTTGTATTTTGTCGAAATGGGTATCTGAAATGAAAATGGAAAAATACAAAATCAGACAACTAAAATATGAAAATATAAATATTAAATAAATAAAAAGTGAAAAAGAAAAAGAGAAAGGATTCAATCTGTTATTTGTATAAAAAGTTTACTCACGGAACATCAGTCGTCATAAACTTCTCGGGATTGCTTGTAATGATAATGACGTGCTTGTCATGGGTTGAGCCAAAATGCGACTGGCTTAGAATTCTGAAAGTAAAATACATCTATTAGAAAATACAAACACCACAGACTGTGAGCAACATTGCATGAAAACATGCAATAAAACAGCTGCAATCTCTATAATAATAATTATTATTATTAACCAATTATAGATTTATGATATAATAATTTCTTCACCTCATCAAATTATGGCGTCTATCCATGTATTCTTTTTTTGTTATCCCAGGAGTAACTGAAAAGAATAAATATATTCAATCTTGTGATTTCTGTTGAATTGATAAAATTAATGATTGGTTGACTACCAAAACTACTCTCAGGTATACCCCTCCTGAACCTCTGTGGTGTTGGGAAGATATCAGGAGGGGAAGGACTGTTTAACTTCATGGCAAATATTCCCTTTTKCTTGATTATATTCTGTTCTTTCCCTCTCCATGTTGCTGTAATTTCTCTATTCAACCAAAACCTTGTGTGATCATGAAGGATGAAATAACAACAAAGACTAGCAACAACCAACAGCAAAGAACCAAGGAAAAATGTGATTCTTAGACATGTCCATCTTGGATACATAGTAATCAAATGTCTTAGGAATATAAGTCTTCATATTATATGTGTTTTAAGCCATTAAAATCAGGATAAAGCTGTAGTTTAAGAACACAAATAGCTACAGTGGTTGAGAAGACACCAAACTGTTTCACCACAGGTACACAAAATGACACCAGGTGTTGTATTCAGGTGTTTACCTTGTTTTCAAAAACACTTGCAAGCCTTTTGTTATGATCTTACTACACATGAAATCAYAAATAAGCCTTGAAATTGATAAACTTAATAATTATTTAGCTAATCAATTAAATTGTTGCCATGGTAACAAACATTTATTAGGTACTTTGCACTCTGCAAGGTTTATCAAGAAAATGGTTGATGATTATTTCACAACAATTATTAAATTCTTGTCATGGTGATGATTCATTATATTTTATCATTGAATTAAAATGATAATCACAGATAGAGATGGGAAAATGCAGCAAATTTACAATTGAAAAGGATGAATAAAAATAAAATAATCATCATGTCAAGAATCAATTTTTAATTATACTATTTATTTGAATATTTAGGAATATTTGATATTACAATGAATATCACTAAGATTGCACTRTTCAGATTGTCAATCATTGGTACTATAAACCAACCTTCTCCACTTGACACAAGGTGTGGGTGTGTAACRTGGGTCGGCTGTCCTATATAATCATGGTCGTCCGGTTTAGATARATGACTAAATGACARGCCTCTTGCACTCAGTTCAGACAGGTGATCTATGCAAAAATGTTACAGTCATAAAAATTTGTTTGTTTTTTACAAAATAGTGATATGATGTTGTTTGAAATCCAGTTGCAATGCTTACATCAAGAAGCAATGTGAGCACAGTTTATTATGTTGATATCTACTTACCATGTTTATTAGAACTATTTAAGTTGACACAGGAAGTAAATCCTTCAAAAAATAATAATAATAACAATCACTAAAAACGCCCTTAGTGGGGAGGGGTGGGCCAATTTATGCAATTCAATAGACAATTGTTTTTTCGCATAATATGCATTAAAAAAAGATGTGAAATGTATTTATACTTACGTCTAGTAGATACAGAACGCCTGGAAATAATAGATTTTATTAAATAAAGACGATCTTTGTGTTGTCCAGAGTGTCCTGGAAAGAAGATATGCCTCTAATTAATATTGTGACCATATTTGATATATCTTCTATAAATATAAATCAATAGTGGTAGCAATCACTTAAAAACTAAAATGCAAGTTATTAGGCTTCTTACTTGCTTTCCAAAGAAAATATTTCAAAGTTTCTCTTCCAAAGATTCGACACCTCTGTGCCGCCATTTTTCTTTGAATTCTCGGAATGTGTTCGAGAATTATTCGGAAGAGATTCGGAATTGCAATGAAGGCAGTACAGAATTATTTTTCTTTGTTTTTGTGAAGGAAATTTTTAAAGAAATAAGTAATTATTGGTTGGTTCTACTGGTCGAAAATGATGGTTATTCTAAGCAAAGACGAACAAAGATAAAAGTACAAGAATGTACGCTACAGAGACTACGATACATAACCGCTGATATGATTATGCGCATAGTGTATTTATAGTAACGCGGCATGATAATTACCGAAGCTTTGATCAAGCGTGACTTGGCKTRGGGTGTGAGCTTTGATTGAATCTTTCAATATATTTCCCTGCAATTATGGACCTGAAGCAGGCTGTTTGCCTGCTAGGTATTCACGTAGCTTTCTTGGCWCTTTGTGCGAGCTCAGAAGAGTCAACTTTGGGSAARTTTATTCAACATTTTGAACCCCTAAATTACGATACGAAAGAASTCCATGCAAGTCACAAAAAGGCCGTTTCTCGAGGCTCGCACTATGATATGCAATTTGATGCATTTGGGCAGAARCACAAGCTTCGTATAAAGCAAGACAACGAGCTTTTTACTGGAGATGCTGTCATACAAGATGGGGATGGTAAGCCAATTAGCCTTGACCACAGCTCTTTCATTACAGGGGAAATTGTTGGAGAACCAGGCTCAAAAGTGCATGGGGTTGTTSAAGATGGTGCTTTCCGAGGAAAAATCATTGGACGCAAGGGAAACTTTTATGTTGAACCAGCTAAAAACTACTTTGAAGACCCATCATTTCACTCAGTTATCTACAGACAAGACGATGTTCAGTACGATGCCAAGTATGCTGACATTTCAAAACGTATMCCAAAACATTCAGATAGAGAAAAGAGAGAGGTCGGTAACGAAAGACCTCGAAGGGCAACCTTGGAAGAGATGAGAAAGAACGTTTGTAAGCTCAAGCTGTACGGAGATGACCGGTTTACGAAGCGTTTTGGTGGCAAAGCTGAAGCTGCGGCCAAAATCGTCGAGCATGTGGCCGCAGTTAAGGCAATATACACTGAAGATTTCAACACAACAAAAGATGGGTTGTACGCGCCCTATGGTATCACGTTCAGAGTGAAACAAATTACGGTTTATGACGAGAGTAACGTCCCTGCTAAGTACAATAAGGATAATCTTGGAATCGATCCAATGTTGGACCTTCTCTCTCAGGAAAATCATGATGATGTTTGCGAAGCGTTTCTTTTTACAGACCGTGACTTTGATGGAGGAATTTTGGGTTTGGCCTGGATTGGTTATCCATCAAAGCTTGGTGGAGTGTGCTCCAGGTATAGGACAGGGGGAGGCAAAAGCTACAATACTGGCATTGTTACAACCAAACTTTATGGGCGATTCACACCACCTAGGATATCAGAAGTTACCTTTGCGCACGAACTTGGGCATGGCTTTGGATCTCAGGTATTAAAATATACTAAATCATACTAAATCTACCGGTACTCTGTTCCTAAAATCAAGCTGTGATATTTTGAATTCTTGTGAATTCTTGTTCGTGTTATTTTAAAAAATACTTTACTCAAGACATCAACAAAAAAATTGTTTTAATGTACGCCCATAGCGTGTGGTACAGATTACGAYACAGATATCATTGTTTAGAAGTTAAAGCAGTGTCGTTTTTGACAGGTGTTTGTGTATGTATGATGCAGGTTACTAAGTACACTTTGAATTGTTTCTTTAGCATAATTTTCACTGGAAGATGAGAATCGTTATAGTTTGTATTTTAATAGTTCTTGCTGTAAATTCTTTCAATATTATCATATGATATATGCTCATTAGCATGCATAACTGTGTTGGCGAGACATACATAAATTTGTTTTAGTATGTAAGTGCACATGACAGGGGGTTTGACAGTTTCTGCTCATTTGAGAGGGTTGGTTTTATGGTGGATACGCTTCTGAAGATAATGCTCAGTTGTAGATTTTCCAATTTTGCAACATGTCTTTTCTACATATGAGAAACTAGTTAAAGGACTGCGCAATATTTATCAGGAGGGGGGATTGAGTAATGAGCCAAAAAATCAAGAAAGTTAATAGCCGAGTTTAGATATTTTGGTTCAGTGACCATGCACAAAAAAATTGCAGACGAGGCTCCGGGGAAATAAAGAATAAATCAAGATTATCCATTGATAATTTTATTTTTTTTTAATATTGCAAAGAGTTATTTTGAAGTGCACGCTTCAAAATGACCAATCAAAGAGCGTATAATATCGTTTTATTCTTTATTTCCCCGGAGCCTCGTCTGCAATTCTTTTGTGCATGGTCACTGAACCAAAATATCTAAACTCGGCTATTACTACCCCTCCTTGCAAACAAAATAAATTACACTCTGACACCATTGAGTTTTCAGTTTCCAATTAAAGTTCTAGTTAATTTTAGACATTGCCCCTCTCTTTAAGCACTTAAAATTATATGTTGCCCCCCCCCCCCTGATACACTCCTGATCAATATTGCACAGTCCATAAAAGGTAACATTGTAAATTGTATGAGACTTGAGTTCTCACTGTTTCTGACTGGATTCAGCTCTGTATTAATTAATGCATTTATTAACATTTTGACAGCATGATCCAGAAGGTACATGTAGTCCTGGAGGTAAAAATGGTAATTACATCATGTATAGTAAGGCAACATCTGGCGACCGTTCYAACAACGACAAGTTTTCTCCGTGTAGTCTTACTGCCATTCGTGATAATGTAAATGCCAAGAGATCAAGGAGTTCATATGATGGTTGCTTCACTACTGGAGATGAGCCAATCTGTGGAAATAGAGTCAGAGAGAAGGGTGAACAATGCGAYTGCGGAGATGCACTTTCATGCAAGGAGGAAGGTGATTGTTGCAACCCTCCTGGAACAAAAGATGAATGCCGTTTGAAATTATCAGTTGAATGTAGTCCAAGTCAAGGTATGRCAGCTCTATAAGCTTAAAATTTTTATCTGATGGCTATATTTATTAATCAATTTATTGCTTCAAGAAAGGATTTATTTGATATACAATATCATAGAGAATATCGGACCCAAAATGGTTCTGATATGTACAGCAGTAAAGTTTTCTGTTTACATTTTCAAGAGTTTTAAATCATGTTGTTAGGTAGAAATTGCAAAAGTGTTTGAATCCCATTTGAAACTCTGATAAAWCTTTTCTCATAAAGGGAACATTACAATTTGAATATACACCTACTTGCGAAAATGTTGTCATAAAAAAATAGGACATTTGTATTTTGTAAAAAGGAATAAATTTAAAAGACAAAAGAAAATCACTGAGGCTGAACGCTTTCTTTTGTCTTGTTTTCATTTATTCCTTTTTACTAAATTCAAATGTTCTATTTTCTTTGACAACGTTTCTGCAAGTAGGTGTATATTAATAGTAACTATTGGACATTTGATGTAAATCAATTAATTTCATTACTAGGTCCTTGTTGCACCAAAAAATGTACTTACGCACCCAACAAGGTTTGTCGCAACAGCACAGAATGTATCAAGGAAGCCAAGTGTGCAACCAGGTCATATGAATGCCCAGAAATTAGTGTGAAAGATCCAAAAGGTACATGTAATGGCAACCGTAGAGTTTGTGGAGCCAAAGGTGACTGTTCTTTGTCTATTTGTACAAAATATGGCCTTGAGGAATGCCAATGCACAGCAGAGACTGAGCTGTGTGACATTTGCTGTAAGAATCCAGGGAAAGATGAGTGCTTGGCTGCAAAGAAGATCAACGAGGTAAATATTCCAACTTATTTCCATACTTGTCTTTTGTGSACTTGTCTTTTGTCTTTCTGAAATATATCTCTTTACCTTATAGTTACCAGTAATGCTTGATACAGTACATAAAATACCTGGCTCACCATGTGCAAATATGAAAGGTTATTGTGATGTATTTGCTGTTTGCCGTATGATAAACAAGGCCGGCCCACTGCAGCGTCTGTCTGAAAGATTCCTSACAGTTAAAGGTAAAAAAGGAYACTACAGTAGCYACATTAATGTTATAATTGCATTCAACTTTGAATGAACCATGTTATTTCTTTTTTTAGGACTTAAGGAAACTGTCAAAGAGTACTGGTGGGCAATATTGATYGGYATWCTTGCTGGYATCATCATCGTAGGCCTGATGGTCTTCCTGTGTWCTCGKTATACCCCTAGTAGTAATCCAATCASAGARGSRAAGAGACCAGCCAAGAAACTCCCCAGGCGAAGGAAAAAGAATCAAGATCGAACACGGGAYGCAGGACGAGAATCACCTACTATGGACATGGAGCACCAAGTATAAGGAGTAGATTTAAACTTTTAGGTATTATTTAATAAGTTGTAATAACTATCGCTAGAATGAAGACCATAAACCTGTGAAATACAATGGTAGCAGCCAAATACTGATAACCATGGAATACTGAGCAACTTACTAGGTGCATTGATTAACCATCTATTTCACAGGTTTACAGTAAATCTCATTCTAATTTTGTAAGAATTCTTACATGGACATCAGGATAATCCATTCACTAACAAAGAAAGCTAAACCTAAGTTGATGTATTCCTTGTGGTTTTTTTTTTTTTTTTTTTGATATTTGATACAGTCATGTAATCAGGTTTCTTACTTTTACATTCTGGTGGTGCTCTCTAGATAGGAATCTGTTGTGCAATTTTTACGCGATTGTTATTCATGATAACTTAGAATATGGATAAAAGTTAAGAAAAAAAACATTAATTTGTGATCTAGCAATCACATTTATTTAATATTTAGCTACTTGTCTTAAATGCCACTAGAAAACAACTCCTTCTACTGATCTTGTGATTTTGTTATGTATTTATTAGAGTAGTACAAAGTATGGCATATCCTACTATAAACAGTCTATGAAGATTTCTTCTTTGAGAAGAATTTCCTGTAGGATTGGTGCTCTTGATGTCTACTTCATCTACTAAGTCATCAGTGTACATATAATGAATACCACTGAATTGGAAGCATGTACACTATATTCAGTAATAAACTGGTAAATAGAATTTCCTTTTGAAATCACAAGTATCTTGATGTTTTTTTGTTTTTTTTTTGAAAACTTACTTTACTTACTCAAAAGGCTGAATTAGACGGCACAATTTTTGCCTGTGACTTTTTTTAGGGCTATTGTTTAATTAATCCCTACGAGTTGTAGCGATTATAGGCATGACTTACGCAGGCTGCATGCGACGGATGTAGGCAAAAGTTGTGTTGTCAAATTTCATTTTTTTAGTTTTACACAAAGCCATTTGAAAGGTATATAAGTGCTCCTTTGATACGTCGTGCATAGGTCTTTCATTGTATTAAATTACTAAAATAATATTAAAAAACTAAAAYAATACTTTTTGTTAATATGTAAAGGTGCACATATTTTTCTTAACTTAAATATTAAATTCTGCATTGTGTGTTAGTGTAGTTATAATTGACATTGCCATAATAAACACATTAACTTTTAAAAGAGAATTGTTTATTAAACTAATGCAACTTTATAGTTTTAT